CTATGAGTTGAAACCTCTACAAACTGAGCTACAATACACCTTTTCTCCTTTAACTTAGGGTACCTGGTAGTTTGTCTTAGCAACAAGAAAAATAAGACAAATGGTTTTAACCCAACCAGGACATTGAGGCAGCCATGATAGTGTGACTCAAGACATCCAGAACTCCTTCCGAAAGTGGCAAAAAACAATGTTCACAGTGAGGGAAAAGAAAGGGGTAGCCATGGCAATGTGTATTTTAAAGGACTAGGGAAATGTGGGATTCATCTACAAAGTGTGTCTGTACTTCTTGGCATCAGAAGTCCTGAAGTTTCAAAGCTCAAGGCCAGTGAGTACTGAAGGAACAGAATGGCTATCAGCAGTGCATTTCTTTGTAGCTGCAGGCATTTATTCAGCACTCTATCCTTAGTGTCTGCCTACCTGTACCCCAGGACAATTACTTGGGTTACAGGGCCCTCCCTGGATTTTGTCTTTATCAAAGACAAGCTATTTTAACCTTCTGTTTTTTTGTCTTAGGCAGGGTTTCACTGTGGTTTAGACTGGCCTTGAACTCACTATATAGTACAGGATGGTCTTAAACTCGAAGCAATCCTCCTGTCTCAGCATCCCAAATGCTGGGATTACAAGTGTGCATCACCACACCTGGCTATCTTTTATCTGAGGAGTGTGCAAAGCCATGTCGAGAGTCTCCTCACGGGGGAAGCACTGTCACAGTACCATGAGTGTGGTGGCAAGTCAGGACAGCACTATGGCTCATGTCATATCCAGTTTTAACCATTGGTGACATAGTACAAAGGAATCTAAATGTCTGTACAGAAAACCTAAAGGCAACTTGCATGCCTGCCTGGTGACATTGGGGATTAAAGCAAAAGCAATGTCCAAGGCTGATTCAACAGGCCAATAGTGGCAATAATGCTTTCTTTTCCCTCCTTTCTCCTCCTTTCCAGCTTTCCTTGCCTCATATTTTTTGTTTTAATTTCCTTTTTGTGTGCATAACACTGGGATTAAACCCAGGGATGCTTTGCCAATGCACTACATCCCCAGCCCTTTTTTAATTTCTATTTCTTTTTCTTTTTTGAGGTAGATTCTCATTAAGTCCCTCAGGTGGGATTTGAATTTGTGATCCATGCCTCTATGTTCCCCAGATCTGGGATACAGGTGTGAGCCACCACATCCATCTTGTTTTAATGCCCTTTAAACTCTGTGATGTTTAGCTTTCTGTCACTGTGACAAATACCTGATATAACCTAAAAGAGGAAAGGTTTATTTTGGCTTATGTTTTCTGAAGTTTCAGTCCATGGTTGGGCCTGGAGCAGCACATCATAGCAGGACCACAAGGTGAAGGAAGCTGCTTGAGTCTTGGCAGCCAGGAAACAGAAACAGATCAGCATCCCAATATGCCCTTCAGGGGCACACACCCAGTGACCTAATTTTCTTCTACTAGGTGCCACCTCCCAATAGTGCCACAACTTGGGGACATTCAAGATCCAAATCATAAAGCTCTTAAATCTTTAATTGTAAAAATTTCACTTCATAATTTTGACTCTGGTTCCAATTTGTTTTGGGGTGTGTGTGTGTGTGTGGTGCTGAGGATGAACCTAGGGTATTATTATACATGCAAGGCAAGAGCTCTACCAGTGAGCCACATCCCCAACCCCTGGTTCTAGTTCTTTTTCACTTATTTTTACATCAATATTTAACAAATGCCTACCACTTCTAATCAGGAAACAAATCTTAGAAATGTTAGGTTCTGATGTTAAAATACCCATCTTGTTATTTAACCTGGGCTAGTTCATCATGAATTGCCAAGCACCTTGGTAACTAACCGGTCATGGTGGTTAGTCCTTCACACTACTGAGTATCCCTCTGTGCTAGGAGCTCCAGTGGAACAGCACTTTCATTCTTCTTGCCTGCACTATGGATGCAGCTGTATCAATGTGGCCCACGTGAGGAGGTACCAGCCTTTCTGGCTATGTACTCAGGCTACCAACAGGGGTCACAATAAGCACATCCATCAAGTCACCTCTACCCAGATTATATGGTCAGGGAACAACCTCTGCCTAATCAGAGTCCAAATGCCCCCAAACCAGTTGGGACTCTTTGGATCACAGCACTGGCATTTCATTCCACTGAATGCTCAGTTAGATTTGCCTTACAAGCTGTAGCAGGGAAGTTCTTAGTGAAGGTCCCCAACCCTTCTTGAGATGGGCCAGGGGTCTTTCAAAAAAGAGAAGCCCTGTAGGCCAGCAGTCCCAAGTGTTGAATAGGGGAACTTGCACACAGAGCTGCAGTACCCTCAGGGTGCAGGACGAGAAAGGAATGTCCTGCCAGGTAATAGTGGGGGACAGTGTATGGGAGGGCTCGCAGACAGGGCCAATTTTCTTTTGTTTGGGGCATTAAACTGGACACCTTTATCAGTATCTGGTAATGTTTCAGGCCCAGCCTAGGCCCGTACCTGCTGGGAAAAGCCATGCTGGTAGGCAAGGCACAGTCATCTGTGGTTAGGGACAGGGGTCCCCTACATCTAGTATGAAACCAAGTTCCATGACCCAGAAAATTACTAATTTCCTTCCTCTAGGCTCATCAGTTTAAATGATCCTCTTGCTGGTAACTGAGCCTTCTAGACTCCTCTGCCGATGCTCATGTCTTCTTTGACACCTCCAAGAGCTCTTATCTCTTATGTGGGCCCCCAGCCAGCTGCCCAGACTGACATTTGGCAGTTTACCATTGCTGCCCACACCTGCCTTGCAGGAAACCTAACCTGGTCCTCCACTTTCTTGGTTCCCCTTTTGTGACCAGAGATGACAAAATCCATTTGGGACCCTTTCTGTCTTCTCCCTCAGGGTGGAGTGCATACTGGCACAGAAGGGTTATTGTGCTTATGTCCCCCCAAAAAGGGACAGCCCATCTGAGGAACAGCAGGCAAGGTGGCCTGTTAAAGCTAGCAGGTGCCCACTTCACACAACAGCACTTCAGGGTCAGGGAGTGGGGGCTGCAGCAAGGGCCAATCCTGGCTGGAGAGGGGACCCTGAGTGAAGCTGTTTCCCAGGGGGCCTGTGGGGAAGTGGCTGTGGTTATCACCAGTGCCCTTGAGCCAGGACACCTGTCACCTAAACCAAGGGCAGATGAAGCCTCATCACTGACAGATGGAGCTTCTACAAGACAGTGGCCCCAGTAGAGTGACCTGAGGCTTTTGTTCCTTCAGCACTGGGGTCTGAACCCAGGACTTCTTACCAAACTACATCCCCACCACACACACATACTCATTCCCCGCCCTTTTTTTTCATTCCCCTTGAGACAGGGTTTTGTTAAGTCACTAAACTGCCCAGGATGGGCTTAAATTTGTGATGCTCTTGCCTTAGCCTCCCAATGCTAGGATTTCAGGCATGTGCTACCACTGCTGGGTTATGGTGTCTCTCAATAGATAAACAAAAGGGAACACACAATGGCCTAGAACTGACAGGCAGAGCCCTACACTTGGCTTAAAGGAAGATGTAGGGGAACAAGGCAGGGTGTGGTCATACGTTAGAAAGCAGGACCCCAGAACCAAGTCAGACCAGACCTAGTTAAGTACACAGACCACACCAGCACCTGACATCACCATTCCCAGAAGGCCCTCCCAAGGGCTAAGATGGGTCATACTCATGGGCTGAGTAGAGGGCCCATGCCATCTCTGATACCTGAGCATGACTGTGCCCAGGAGCCTGAGTCAGGGAAGTCCTATGGCCTTGCCAAACTGCTGAGCACCAAAGCTGGGACATGTCCCCCTTGGCTCCTACTTGACCTTGAGACTCAGGCCTCCAGAGGATTTGGTACCTGCAGCTGCTCAACCTCTGGGCAATACATGCCCAGGAAGCATGCTAGAGTACCTCAAAATAGCAAGCCCTCAGGCCAGGACCAAGACCTATAGGATGCAAAGGCTCCAAACAGCACCAAACAAAAGGGTGCTACAGGCCCCTCTAGGGTCCCTGGGAGCCCTTTGATTCCATTTAATGGACTCAGTGACCAGGGCCAAAACTTATGAAGCCACCTGCACCAAACCCATCAATCACACCTTGAGGCCATGTAGCTCAAGACCTCTACTGACTGTGGTTAGCACGGTGGCAGCAACAACCCTAATGGATGTTCCTTGCAAATGAAAGTGCTGGTGGGATAGCTCAGTAGAATAAGTACTTGCAGGTCAAGTGCAGGGTCCCAAGTTCAATCCCTGGTACCACAAAAAAAAAAAAAAAAAAAAAAAAAAAAAGCACAAATTCCAGCAGTGACACCAGACTGGCCTCGCCTTACAGGCTTTTGAAATTATTGGCTCCCCCAAGTCCTAGGCTCATCATGTATACCCCACATGCACCCTCCCTTCCTGAGGAAACCAACGCAAAATAATAAACTGGAATCAGATTTGAAAATACAGGAGCCAGAGTAAAGAAATCAGTGAGCTGACTGCTTTAGTTTTTGCCACAGTTATTACACCATCAAACGCCAAATATTTAAGGCAACTGGGTTTTACCATTTGCTTACATTTATCTCACTCCAAGTTTGTTTTTTTTTTTAATTTACCGCTTTCAGCCAAGCATGACAGCACACACCTATAATCTCAGCACTCCAGAAAGCTGAAGCAAGAGGATCATAAATTGGAGCCCAGCTTGGGCAACTCAGCAAGGCCTTGTCTCAAAAAATAAAACAAGGGCTAAAGATGTACAAAGGCCCTGGGTTTAATCTCTAGTACCACACAAGAAAGAGGAGAAAAAAAGAATTCAGATGTGTTATGTACTTGTACCAGTTCCCTACAATAAATGTAACCCTTATGTACTGCAAACGTACTAATTTTTGGGGTTTTTGTACTAGGGAACAAACTCAGGACCTTGCACTTGCCAGGCAGGTGCATAAGCCACTGAGCTATCTCCCAGGTCCCTAGTTGTTTTTTATTTTTATTTTTTTACTACATGAGACAATAAAGAGGGTTGAGATGAGGCTCTGTGCAAAGGTTCAAACCCCAGTACCACCAAAAAATTTTTTATTTATTTTTGAGACTCATTCTTTCATCTTAAAATTTGTGACCCATCTAGAAAGTACCTGGGGGCTCATACATAAAGGCGGGCTCTTGTCTCCTGTCTTTCCAAGGGCCTGGCTTCCCTGAGCTCCTCAAGGGATCCTTCCTTGGCTACTACAGCTGTATGCCACCAGGGCATCTGGTTCTGACCTCTCGAGACAGCTCGCTGTGAGGATACCCAGCCCGGTTTGGGTAAAATGAAGCCCAGGGCACTGGCACTGGCACAGGCCCAGGCAGTACAAGAGCCAAGACAGGAGAGGTACCCTATCCCTAGACAGGAACCAGTCCCTGCTGTGCCAGGCTGATTATCCCAGTCATATGTGAATATTGAACTAGGGAAGATAGCAGGGTAGTGTCCCATGCAGCCTTGGACACCTCAGGACCAAGTCTCCAATAACATCCCATACTTCACCTCAGAAACCTGGCCCAAGAAGGCAAAACAGCACTTCCACAGCAGGCCCTGTGCTGTGGCACAAGGGTGGAAGAGGGAACAAAGCCACTTCTCTTGCCCTCTTCTTTTATCTTTGCTCAGGTACTCAAGTCACAGAGATCATTCAATAGGGGCCAGACTCTAAGCCACTCAACTTCAGGGATCTGTCCCATCTTGCTCAGCTCTGAATTCTAGGTGGATGACTGACTAAACGAGGGGAGCTCACTGAGCTCTCACCCATCCTACAAAATGTGGGTGTGTACTGTACAAATTGCAGAACCAAGGCTCAGGAACATGCCCAGGGTCACACAGCTCGCTGGGAGCATGAGGACCAGCCTGCTTGAGGGCAGCGTCTCCCCTCCTCCCAGGTCTAGCCCTAGAGTCTGCACCATGACCAGGAGGAAAAAACGAGGGAGGTTTATTTAACATTAAGGTGGAGAGGAGACCAAAGGTTGACTGGTTCACTTGGTGATGGTGTTCCTGTGGAGGAAAAGAAAGGTGTGAGGCTGGATCGGGGACACAGATCCCCCAGCCCACCTGCCGAGTCCCCTACTCACGCATTCATGCTTTTGCCGCTGCCACTGAGCACAATGTATGGAGTCTTCTGGGCCTTCTGCTTCTCCTGGAGCAGAGCCACTGTGCCTAGAGGTGTGTCGCTGGAGCTCATCTTCTTCAGAAGCTGTGGGTGGGGGCCAGTCAGCATAGGGTAGGAGCAGGCCCAGGAGTCACCACCCTTGGCTCCTGCCAATGCAGAGCCCCCCAGGTTCCTGAGCACCCACCGCCTCCTCGTCCAGCTTCTTCATCCGCCGCTCTGTCTTCATTTTGCCTGAGCCCTTCCCATGGAAGCGGTGGGACAGCTGTCGGAATGCCTGGAACACAAGGCAAGAACAGGAGTGGAGGACCTTGGGTGGGTGAGACCAGGGCCCTTGTACTCAAAGAGCACCCCAACGGGGTGGGGAAGGGTACTGACTTGTCCAACTGAATATAGGGGCCCTGGTGGGAGGAAAGAGGATGGGAAAAGGATGCTGGAACCCTCAGGGAGCCCCAGCAGAGGCAGCAAGACACTCAAACAGATGTGCTGTAACGAGAATGGGTTCTGGAGTGAGACTTGCATGTGGAGGCTGGGGCTGGACACAGAGTCAGGGTGGCTCTGGATCCTGCTGCCAAGGACACTGCTCTGAGCGCTGGAGGTTTCTACTACAATGGGTGGGCAGAAGCACAAAGGTGCCTGTCTGACCCTCCTGTCTGCCTTCAAGGAGCCTGCTGTGCTAGAGATGGAAACTGAGGCTCAGAGTTTCTGCACCACAGCCAGACAGGGTCCTGTAGTGCCACACTGCTTCCATGGCCAGGCCCCATGTGCCAAGAGCCCACTCACCTCCTTGGGTGTGAGTTTCCGGCCTGTCTCATCCACATACTCGATCTTAACATCAGGCTTGTAGCCATCCTTTTCTTTGAAGTCCTGGGTGAAGCCACGGTACTCTTCTCTCCTGCTGTACTTGTCATCAATGGCCCTGGACCAAGATAAAAGTCTGTCACACACCAGACCCCTACGGTGTTTCCTGGTAGCTCTGCAATGTCATCAGCCCCACTGCCACACTCACATCTTGTCTTCAATGCAGTACACCGCTGAGGGCAGAGACTTGTTGGGGGCCTTCACCCGAGCCACCTTCTGCACTGTAGTCTCCAGCAGACCTGGGGACACAGGGGCTGTGAGGTCCATGCTGCCTGCCCCGCAGACAGGAAAGATGCAATTGAGCACTAGGAAGCCCTCACAACCCTGCTGACAAGTAAGGATGTCAGGCTGTTACACAGAAAAAGGACCGAGGAAGAGGAGGAAGTAGTGACAAACAGGGGACCCCAAACCCATCCCCCCATGCCATGCCCCCGCCCGCACCTTTGTTCTGGCACAGCAGCAGGGCAGCAGCCAGCCCTCTGTTCACAATGGGCTCCTCATCCAGGATGGTGGTGGAGGAGGCAGAGAACTGGGGACGGCACACAGTGGGTGTGAGCAGACTACGGGCGCTCTTCCCACTTCCCTGCCCACCAATCACCCCAGGGGACTTCTCTTAGTTCTGGGGTGTTAAAGAGTCCATTCAATAGATGGGAAGATAAAGCCCTTGGACCCTCATTGAGGGACTGAGCTGGGTGCAAGCCCAGAACCCTTGTCCAGCCCACAACCCCTGTGCATCCTCACATCCTGCTGCTGCTTCTCCTCATCCAGGTTCACAGTGCTCCAGCCAATGTTCTCTTCCCCATCTGACTCAGAGCCACCATTGGCTGAGCGCTCTTCGTCCCGTTCAAAGTCCTGGGGTGGAAAACAAGTCAGCCTGGGCAGCGCCAGCCCACCTATCACCAAGGACCCATAGCCCCTGACCAAGAGCACAGCAGGCCTGTGAGGCGGATGGAGGGCGGTCTGTGGGACTCACCATGAGCTCCTCTTGTTCCTCCCGGTTGCCAGCCAGCCCGTAGGTGGGGATCTCCCCCAAGGTGCGGCAGAACTCTGAGGTGGCATTGAACACAATGGCCCCCTTCCGCTCAGGATCTTCCTCCTCCTCCCAGCCCCGCTGACGGGACTCCAACTTCTTCACAATCTCCACCACCTGGGGGAGGGAGCAGCTGTGGGCAGACCCAGAAGTTTCTGGGGTGATACCACTAAGAGCCGGGAACCCACGGATCTTCCCTGGATCTGGTACATAAACCATCCCACAGCCCACACCGACCAGTCCCACTGGCTTCCTCCCTCTCCCTGACCTTCCTCTGTCCAGCTGTTAATCCCTATTCAGCGTAATGAACCACTTTTCTGCTCCAACTCAATGCAGGTGCTCCCTACTGGCCTTGGAATTAACCCCCCAAATCCTACGCAGTCCCTTCTAACCAAGCCTGTGCCCACCACTCTCCAAAGCCTCTTACACACTGCCTAGGAGGCCAGGGCCTCCCCTGCCCGCTTCTCACCCAGAAACTCCCCCTTCCACAACTCACTTCTGAAAGCCCCTCCAGTGACCGCAGGCAGGTAAGCAGGCAGGCAGCCCACACTCCAGACTTCCCCGCTGGCGTTTCCAGCCTGCTCCCCAGAGCAAGGGGGTGCCTTGAGAAGAGCTTCCCTGTGCTGCCAGCAATGAGAGCAGCAACCTGCACACCTCCTGCCTTCCCAACTCCTGTTGTGCAGACGCCCAGCCACACACACACACACACACACACACACACACACACACACACACACAGAGCAACTCCTCTCGTTTAAAAAGCCCCACCTCCAGCCAGGCATGGTGGTGCACACCCAAGATCCCGGCATATGGATGCACAGGCAGGATGGCCACAGGTGCAAGGCCAGTCTGATCAATAGTGAGACCCTATGTCAAAAAAAAATGAAAGAAACAAACACCCCCACAACGCTGTCACCTCCAGGACACAACAGCAAGCTCCCAGAGCAGCTATAGTCACTACATCTTTGTGTCCAGCTCAGGTAAGCACCCTGTGAAGCTCAGTGACAGCTGTGGCTGTGGGTGCCACTGCCCATTCACCTCAGCTCTTGCCAGCCAGCCACTTGCTCCATGCTCTAGCAACCTATCCCTGAGCACCGCAGGGTCATTTCTCCAAAGACCCTACTGCCTTTACCCAAGATCTCAGCTCAAAAGGTCCCCAACAGTCCTCTCAACATGGCTGCTCTCTCTTCGGCTTATTTTACTGTTGGCCCTGTGTTTATAAGATGCCTACTTCCCCTCACCCACACTAGAGTTGGCCTTGTTTCCTATTCTACAGACACCCAGCCCTGCAAACAAAGCCTCACTTAGAGCAGGCATCCAACACACCGCCAGCCTCACCTTCTCACCACTGTCGCGAAGCTGCTGCAATTGCTGCAGCTGCCGTAGCCGCCGCCCCTTCTCCAGCTGCTTCTGCAACTCCAGCTCTGCCTCATCCTCCTCCAGTGCCTCAGGGGACCCTGAGGGCAGAGCTCCCCCATCCTCTGGTGGGAACACAGGACACCCGCTCACATAGGCTCCTGAGGCCCTGTCCCTAGCCCCACTGGCTGACCCCTTACCCTCATCACTGATGTCCATGTTCTCCACACGGGTGTCATCTGAAGGCAGGGGCTGCGGCACAGACTCCTTCTCGACATCCTCCGGGTCAGCCTCCTCTACCTCTGGCACTCGGCGTCGACCCCGGCCCCGCAGCCTAGGAGGAAGAGGCCCCATAGTGAGCATCAGCTCCTGGGCTGGGCCACCCAGTCCTCCAGGCACCACTGTGTTCAATCCTACCTTGAACCAAAGTCCCCATCTTGAGTCTGGTCCCCAAGGGGCAGCAAATCATCTGCCCGCATAACTACCTCCTTTTCCTTCTTACGGATTTTCTTCACTCTCCGTTTGGTCTTTTTAAAGGTCACCTGAGGGGGGAGGGAAAGAAGAGATTTTTGTGGAGTAAACAATGACCCAGGAGCCCAGGCCATCAAAGCCAGTAAGGAAAGCTCTTCTGGTGGGACCCTGTCTGTCACTGCCTGCACTTCCAATACATGCAACACACAAGATGGGTACTATATTACTCCACCATGAGACAATGAAACTAAGGCCCAGAGAGGTTAAGATCCCTTCCCCGGGCTGCTCAGTGCCCGTGCATTCTTGCTCCAGGACTCCTTCTTGCATAGCCATGATGCCGAGGGCACAGCTGTCTGCCCCCATCTCCATAGTCTCCATGTGCCACATCCACATGCAACTAAAACCAAACTCCTTATATTTGGACAGCTTCTGGAAGAGGCTACTGTCTGTTAAATGACTCACTAAAGACACGAGCTGGATGTGGGGCAGAGAACACAAAGTTGGTGTCCCCTGGCTCAATAGTCCCTTCTTGTCAACACCCAGCCCCTCCCCGCACTGCCATTTACCACTCATCCAGAGCAACGCATGGCCCCAACACTCAATCCCTCTTCCAAGGGGCAGGATAATGGCTACCCCATACACAGTGCAGGCAGAGCTCACCATCTCCTCAGGTGTGAGGTACTCAGAGGCCAACCTGGGTCCCACTGAGCTCAGGGACTGTGCCTGCAACCGCAGCTTGGTCCGGATCTCTTCCAGCTCTCGTTCCCGTAGGCCATCAGCTGTGCCACCCTGCTCCAGCCGGAAGGAGTGTGGTCGCTCACCCTCTAGCTCCTCATCATACTTGGCCAGTATAGAGCGAGGTTTTTGCTGCAAGGAAAAAGGAAAAGGTTGGGACCTGGGCCAGTCATTGTCTCCCACAGCCTCGTGCCGACACTGTCCACCCCAGCCGCACACCCTGCCAGCATGCCTGTGCCAGGTCATCCACGCTCTCATCTTCTGCATAGGGCAGGTAGTCGGGCTTTTTCTTCCGCAGCTCCACATTCTTCTCTGCTCGCTCCTTATCTACCAGGTTCACATTCACCAGCACATCCTCCTCTTCCTGCAGCACGCCTGGGAAAAGAGCAGTCAGCAATCATCCTACCAGCCCTGGACACACTAGTACCCAGGCCGCCACCTGAGCCCCCTCGAGCTGCTTACCTTTGTCCTTCAGGGTGAGGATCACAGTCTCCCCCTCTCGGAAGGACTCTATGGCATGTTCCACAGTGAGGCCCTGAAGGTCGCGGGCACTGTATAGGTCCTAAGGGGGAAGGCCCAGCCAAGTAAGGGGTCACATGTAGCCCCCAATGCTAGGATGGCAACACCAAGGCCACAGCATTCCCCTCCTGCCCAAATCACCAGCATCTATAGCCTCACCTGCCGCCTCTGCTCAAATTCCTCCTCCACCAGAGTGCTGACACCAAACTCTTGATCCATCTCTTCCAGCAGCTTGGCCTGTGTGACATGAAAGGATGTAACCTCAAGCCATTTCGCATTACAGAAACACTACTGTACTAAATGTGAATGTCAAAGGGCAGGACCTGCAAGCAAGCTGTGCAGAATGCAGAACAGACAGCACTAAGACAGACAGCTCCCCCTCAGCCTTACCAGTTCCTCCTCTTCACCAGCCCCAGCTGCCCCAACACTCACCCTCTTCTCTGCCAAATCTTTCTCCTTCTGCAGCTGCCGGCTCCTCTCGATCCACGCTGCAGTGTCATCCAGCCAGGGGTCATCCTCCCCCAGTGTCTTTATCTTCCTGAAGGAAGAGAATGCTCTGAGAAGCCCAGGACCTGCTTCCCCACCCCGACCCACAAAGTAAAAAGACAGCAGCTTCCCGCCTGGCCACCTTGGACAGGACTCCCTCACCCTAACTTCTGGTTCAACAGCCGCTTTTCCTTGGCAGCTGCCAGTTTCTCCCGAAGCTCCTCTCGCTGTCGCAAGGCCATGGGGTTGATGACATCAGCGGCCACGGGCTCCTCTTTGGTGCCCGCCTCTGGAAGGGGGGCCCAGACGTAAGGCTATGTCTGCCCATGGCTGGGGGGAGAGGAGGGAGCCACTCACCCTGCCCCCTTCCAGCTCAGGGCGCCAGAAGGGGTCAGAAGAGGGAAGAGTCCTTCACCTACCTAGCCCCACTTCACCCCACTCTCCTGTGTCACTCCCATGAAACAAGACAGGATCTTCAATCTTCCAAAGTTCCTCAATTTTTTTTTTTTTTTTAAAGCAAACCAACCAATTCCTGCACAGCCCAAGCAGTATGCAGCAACTGTGTATAACTCTCAGTCATCTATTTGCACCTCCCAATCAGAAGGGCACCGGGCAAGTGCATCCCAGATCCACATTGTGCCAGCAGGCAAATGCATATACAGAACTCCTGAATGGTGCTGCCTCTGCACACTCTTCCCACTTTGTTCAAAGACCCCTTGAGATGGCCTCTCTGCCCCACCACAAATGCCTTCCTGAGACCCCATCCTTAGCACCACGCTCACCTTTCTTGACAGCACTGACTTCTAAGGGTTTCAGCCCCAACTTTGCCCGGAGTTTACTGAGGACAAGAGATACAAATGTCAGGAACTACAAAACAAATAGGTTATCTAGTACATTTCTAGACAGGAAGCAAAACTAGTGGGAACAAGTGGTCTTAAGGTTCTTAAGTACAGGCCTGACCTGGATAGCCTAGGACACTGGAAAGGTGACAGCCACAAAACTAGGGAACATAGATGCTTGGCTTGGCCTGTCCCTAATCAGCCAATGCCCTCCTGCTTGGCTCTGTTTCTTCCTATGACTCAAAAGCAGTTAGGATGACTACTTACACGGCCCTTCCCAATCTAACTGACATGCTATAATGGACGAAAGCCTGGCTGCCCCACAAAATGCCAGAGGAAAAAAGCTGAAATACAGGGAAATGGTACTCACTTGGTCTCCTCAATGCTGAGTGATGAGGCATCTCCTGAGCCAGCTTTGGAACCAGCAGCTGCAACAACAAATACCTAGGCTCAGGAGCTGAACACTGCACCCCAAACCCAGCACCTTTGGCTCCAACCGTGGAGTCAAAGATAAGCATTAGCACCTGGGTCTGCTGATGACACCAGAAAGCTTGTCTATCAGTCCTGCTCTTCTAGAACTTTATTTTCCTCTTTTTTTTTTTTTTTTGGTAGAACCAGGAATTGAACTCAGACCCTTGCACTTGCCAGGGAAGCGCTTATTCCACTGAGCCATCTCCCAGGCCCCCTTTCCTGACTCTTTTTTTTTTTAATTTTTTTTATTTATGTGTGTGTGTGTGTGTGTGTGTGTGTGTGTGGCCAGCTCAGCCCACCAGGGGGCGGGGCTGGCTGGCATGTGGTGCTGGGGGATTGAACCGCGGTCCCTGTGCTTTGCTAAGCTTGTTCTAAGTAGGTGCTTTAGACCACTGAGCCATCTCACCAGCCCCCTGACTCTTGAGATTCAACTTTCTCAACTCATTTTGGCCTCTTTCTCAACTCCTCCCCCCTTTTTGGTTGTCTTTTTGAGACAGGATTTCACTATGTAGTTCAGGCTGGCCTTGAGCTCACTTTGTAGCGCAGGCTGTCCTCGAACTCACAAGGATCCTCCTGTCTCTGCCTCCTGAATGCTGGGATTACAAGTGTGTGACACCACACTGGCTTTACCCACTTCTTGGAGGAACCGGGGATTGAACTCAGGCCCTTGCTCTTGCCAGGGAAGCGCTTATTCCACTGAGCCATCTCCCCAGCTTTACCCACTTCTTTATGTTGTGTATTTTCAACCTTAGCTTCTTCACCGGTTCCCTTCTGATTGGAAAATTCCTATCAGGATCTGCAAGAAGTCCTGTTCAACTATCAATCGGAACTACCTGCCCTGAACTCCCCAGTCACTGTCATCTGAGGTCTCCTCCTCCCCACAGGACAGGGACTGTATCAGCAGCAATTCTGTGTTCTCTATGCAATGTGAAGTAAAGAAACAGTATGTTGCTAGATGTTGGGGACACAAATAAGTATTTTGGACCTGTGCCAGCCATCTCACACATA